AAGGAGAAAGCGTTGGTGACCTGTCAATCTCCCCTTCGACGAAACGTGTAAGTGGTAACAGAACATTTGAAGGTGCTGCTGTAGTTGCGATTACAACTTTCGACGCTGCTTCTGTTGATGTTGTGGCAGGTGTTTCTGCGACAGCTACTGTTGGACACGGCTGCTCGGCGACTGCTTCCCTTTCCGCTTCTTCAACAACGTCAGGTTCATCAGCTGCAAGTCCGCTAATTTCTCCCCAAAGTGGAGCTGGAGTCCCTTGAAGAGCCTCAAAGGCTGTAAAAAACGTTCGCCAAGCATTGGCGCCTTCATCGGCTGTATTGAACTCCCAAGCATCCAGTGCGGTAAGTACAGGTGCTGCAGTTCGAGAAGCCGTTGATACAGTAGTTGCTCGAAAATCAATATCCACGTGCTGATAATCTGTTTCTTCTTGATGATCCCAAGGACCAAGGGCGAGGACGCATTCAAAATCACCAGAAGTTCCCTGTGCCGCGAACTGAAGAACGGATACGCCATGTTGAGTGGCGGCACGACCGAGGTAAGTATTTGATAAACTGTGCCATAACTCCTGATCCATTGTATAATAGTTGCCTTGAGTGCATATTTTGTGTGCCAGGAGCTGAGCCGTGGAGAGAAGATTGAAGCCAAGGCCAGCGACGATAAGAACATTGGTAACGTGGAGTGAATATCCCGTGTCGACTGATTCGAGCATCACACTTCCAATGGATCTTGCCATAATAGTTTGTCCGTTTGCTACTGTGACAGGTATTGGACGACGCAGCGGGCGCTGGTTTGTGATGAAGCTTGTCTCAGCGGAACACATGTGCCAACCGCAGCAACTGTCGAGATACCAAGTATTCGGGCCTGAAATTATTCGAGCAAGGTTAGCGTAAACTTGAGGTAAGGGAATGCCTTCAGCACTTATGGTTTCTTCAAGTCGTGTCTCAAAATCTGTTTCTGAAACATCAACTGTGGTAACACATCCAAAGACTCCTTTTCCTGATGTTGCAGATGCAAAAACCGGAGGACGATGCTGTGACGGCGACGGATTCTGCGGCGTTTTCGGCATCTGCTGCGTTTGAATCGTCGACGGCTGCGTTGGCTGATGTGGCTTCGGTAATTTTTGCGAGCGATGATAAGGCTGTGAAGTGCTGCGTCGGTTTTGATGTCGACTGCGACAATTCTTGTAAATGTGTCCTGGTTTCTTGCATAAATGGCAGAAGGGATATTTCGGGGGATGACGATGTTGCGATTCTGGATTTGTGTAAAAACTCAAGTGTATCTCCTTTTTCTGATTGCGTTGTGACTGCAGATCAAGATCTTGCTGCTTCGCTTGAAGATACGACGAAATTTCAGCTTCGGAGAGGTTCGGGTTCATGCGCAGAAAGGCGCGCGCCTGTCGCCATTCGGGTCCAAGGCCAGCAAGAAGGACCGTGAGATACATCTCACGAGGGAAGTATCCCCCCCTTTTCTCCAGTTGATCACGTAGTGTACGGACGCGGTTGACGTAATCCATGACGTTTTCATTTGTCATCATCTGCACGCTTGTCAACTGCGAAAGAATCTTACTCACTGTTATTGTATCTTTTGCCATGTATACCCCCTTCAAGTGGTTCCATGCAGTTTCAGCGGGTGTAAAGCTTGAATGAAACGATCGGACGCCGAGCTGCTCCTTCGGCGACAGGTTCCGTACAAGAACCGTATATGCCCCGAGAGAGGCATGTAAGAAACTTTGCTGCTCCAGTTGTGTTCCCGTAACAGGATACGTAAACTCGCCAGTGAAGAACGGCCATAGCCCAGCGGACTGCGCTAGAAGCTCAAACTCGAAACTCCAGGAGTAAAAATCCACTCCGTTAAAAGTTATATTGTCTTAATCTGAGTATTGTTAAGCAAATTTGGCGGTTGAAAAGTAATACCCGGTTGTTGTGACTGTTGTTGTCACTGAACGCAGAAGATATAGATTGAGTTGAAAACGGTGGTTGTGCTGATGCCTGTTGCTGTACTGATGCTTGTTGTTGTGTTGTTGTCTGTGTTTGTTGGTACTGTGCTTCAGGGGCAGTTCACGACATCCGTGGAGTACTGACAGAAGACGGATTCTGCTGTTGCTGCTGCTGCTGAATACCGATATGCGCATAAGCTGGTGGAAACGGTCCAGAGGCTGAGAGACCAGTGACGGTCGTGGAGACATATACTCCAGTAGTAAAAATCTACTCCGTTAAAATGTATGGTTGTCTTGATTTGTGTACTGTTGAGCAAATTTGGCGGTTGAAAAATAATACCCGGTTGTTGAGGCTGTTGTTGTTGCTGCTCTTGCTGTTGGTGCTGTTGCTGCTGCTGAAATTGCTGTGGCTGTTGATGCTGTTGTTGTTGTTGCTGTTGCTGAGCAGGGGGACGCCCCGAAGATGTAAAAGGGATGCTGCTGCTGCTGTGACTGCGGCTGCTGCGCAAAAGGTGAGAAAGCAAACAAACCAGTACTTGGAGCTGTGGCTCCACGCATATAACTCGAGCCGTCAAGGCTCATTCCACTGAACGCCGAAGATATTGACTGCGTTGAAAACGGTGGTTGCGCTGTTGCTTGTTGCTGTACTGACGACTGTTGTTGAACTGATGCTTGTTGTTGTGCTGTTGTCTGTGTTTGTTGGTGTTGTGCTGCAGGGGCAGTTGATGACATCCCTGGGGTATTGACAGAAGACGGATTCTGCTGCTGCTGCTGCATACCGATATGCGCATCAGCTGGTGGAAAAGGTCCAGAGGCTGAGAGACCAGTGGCGGTCGTGGAGATATGTACTCCAGTAGTTCCGGAAGTTGATCCGGCAGACGGTGCTGGTGATGAACCAGTTATTGTTGACAGTAGTCGTAATTCCAGATAGCTCTCATACCATGTAATATTTTGACAGGTATTGTAGGAGACTAAGTATAGAATCTGCAAACACGAACACTTGGAAAACCTCAAGTGTTAGCCTAGGATCTTTACTGGAATGGTAGACTAGTAAGACAGCGGAAGTCTTGTAAGAGTGAACCTGAGTACATGTTTCTGCAGAAGTGAAGTCTCAAAGTTCTCAAAGTTGAAATCTCAAGGTTAATAATAAAAAGGACACAACAAAGATTTATAGCTCTAGGAAAGTACCTATTCACTAATGTACCTGTTCGTCACTATCGCGCTATGCGCCCTTGACGATAATAAAGATGTGCGACTATTTGCGTGACTGAAACGACTGTCCTATGACGAGCGCTATTTGCTGACGTCATCCTACAGACTTATCTTCTACAGTAGGATTCGACACTATCTATCGATAAACGACTTACAGAAATGCGAAGTATGAAATATACCACAACAGTACTCACTAGAAGCACACACCTAGGCTAGCCTATAACTTCTACATACAGTATATGTATAAGTTGACACTAACCACCGCACTCAGCAGGGATTGGCCAACGACGCCCCGAACGTGCAAAATTTCGTCCCGGCGCAAGTTTGTCTCGTTAACAACCGCTCCGCACAGTTGTGTGCACACATGGCCTGGAGCACTCAAATTCAAATGGCATTTTACATAACACATGGGCACTATATTTTTCTGGGCCACTATTAACACCCACTCATTTTTTTAGTGAATTTTTATATCCACCATAGGGTGTTATTTACGGGGGATTGCGGTATTGGGGATCAGGGCTGACGTTTCAAAAAAACCCCCCCTGAGCTGTCGAATAAAAAAAAAAGTTTACCCTGAGGGCTCAGGTTTCAAAAATTGCCTACCCTGATTTGTAAGGGTTCAGAAATCTGGAACCCTGAAAATCCCAGGGTTCACCGAGCGCGTTCAGGGTTGCGTTCAACACGAGGGGGGAATTAAAAATGGGGGGAAAAAGGGGAGGGAATCAAACCGAGGGGAGGGGGAGAGCGAAACGGAGGGGAAGGGGGAGGATGGAAACATAGGGGAAGAGAAGAAGCGAAACGGGGAGGGAAAAAGTGGGGGTTGGGGGGTGGGGGAAGTTCGAAATACAGTCGAGGAATGGGAGAAGCGAAACGGAGGGGAAGGGGGGATCGAAACGGAGGGGAAGGGGGGATCAAAACGGAGGGGAAGGGGGGATCGAAACGGAGGGGAAGGGGGGATCGAAACGGAGGGGAAGGGGGGATCGAAACGGAGGGGAAGGGGGGATCGAAACGGAGGGGAAGGGGGGATCGAAACGGAGGGGAAGGGGGGATCGAAACGGAGGGGAGGGGGAGTCGAAACCAAGGAAGAAAGGGGGAGCGAATCAAAACCAAGATGCGAGGGGCGAAACGGAGGGGAGATGGGGGAATCGAAATGGAGGGGAGGGGGGAAACGAAACGGAGGGGGAGTGGGGGGAGCGAAAATGGAGGGGAGGGAGGAATCGAAGTGGATTGGAGGGGGGAAGCTGGGTAATAGGGCGGTCGGAGAAAATTCGCGCCCTAGCAGCGCCCCGGCTGGGAGATCTTGGACGTTGATCAATGTGACCATCTAACGGTTTAAGTATGTCGAAACGATCGCAATCGATCTTGACCGTTACATTTTCATAGACTTAGCTAATTTTTGTGGGTTGTTGTTAGTGTGTAGGGGGGATGTCTGTACGACACATGACTTCGCCGATTTTTGTGGGTTGCTTGGTGTGTGAGGGAATGTTTGAGGACTTCACCAATTTTTGTAGGTTGTTGCGTGTGGGGGGGAATGTCTCTGGAGATTGGGGACTTAGCCTAAATTTCCGCATTGTGAGCCACATGGATGTCGCACTCAGGGTTCGTACGCGTTACTCCCTGAAAACTCAGTGTTGGGATAACGGAAACCCTGAAATTCTCAGTGTTCACAGACATACAACCCTGAAGAGGTTAGGGTTCAAAAAAGCCCAACCCTGAAAATTAAGGGTTGGCCAAAAAAATACCCTGTGAAATCAGGGAATCAGGGTAAAATACCCTGATAACGACAGGCCTGTTGGGGATGTCCTCTCTACAGTCTGCACCTAGCTGGTCTATAGTACATATATATAATATATGTATGCAAACAAGGCAAACAGACAAAAATTGTGTAATAAAACCACTAGGATTTCCAGAACAAATTTCACTGGAAAATGCATCTCTCGAATACCAGCTCTGTTACTGTTTCCCATCCATCCTATCCCCTGGGCTGTAGCACAGCAGTCCACGTATCTTTGACTCCCACCCATACTGCCTGACACATCTCCACCAGCCCCCCTGCATGCCTCACTGCCTCCCCCACACCCCACTGCATGGCACCACACGTGGCATGCTGCCCTGCGGCCTCTGCCACAGCCATGGCACAGCCCAGCGCCACCAGGAACACACTGAGGTTCAGCAGCAGCCCGTGCAGCACGTCCCTGACCATGCCTGCGCGCGCCACCCAGTACCCCGTGCGCTCCACCATGCCCATCATCTCGCGCAGCGGGTCCTCTCCTGCGGATCCATCCCTCCCTGTGCCCCCCTCGCCCTCCCGTGCAGCCGCACTCAAGCCCCTCAGCAGCCCTGCCAGCCCTGCTGCTGCCCCGCCCCCTGCAGGGCTGGCATGGGCAGCTCTAGGGAAGGTGAAGGTTTGGAGCACAAGGGAGGATGCGATTAGGGCCGCGTCAGTGGCAAGCACAGTGAGACAGGGGTGTGCGGGCAGGAAGAAGAGGAACGACAGCAGCCACTGCTGAGAGGGAAACGACGCCTCATAAGGTGCTGCCACCCCATCAGTTGCCTCTGCTCCCCCGCCAGTGGAGGCTGCGATGCCTGGCAGGGAGTGCAGGAGGTGCGGGCAGTGCAGTGGCAGCATGCGCATGCAGTACAGCAGCGCCAGCAGCAGTGCCGCCACCAGGCGTACCACGGCTGTGGCGTGAGCGGCCAGCACCACCTGCTGCATGGACAGCAGCAGCCGCACTGCCGACCGCTGCTGCTGCGCGCGCACTGGCTCCTGGAAGGACCCAAACGCGCCACGTGGAATGGAATGCCTGGCGCCGAGGAGAGGGACGCTCAGACCCTGCTGCTGCTGGGCCAGCTGGGCGGAGAGGAAGGGCAGATGTGTGGATGAAAGGGCGGAGGGTGCCAAGGGGTCGAATGGGAAGGTCTGTGTGCTGGGAGCAACGCCAGGTGGATGTGCCGGGGGAGAAGCGACGGCTGCTGGCTCCGCCGTGTCACTCACAGCAGCAGCCTGTGCTGGCATGCACATAGGGGTGGCGGTTTCCGGCGTGGAGTGAGGCTGGGGCTGTGAGGGTGGCGAGGGCGGCGAGGGCAAGGCAGGGCCTGAGAGCGGTGGTGATGCGGGGAGGTTGTTGTGTGACGGGGATGCACTGGGAGGTGCAAACACAGCAGGCGCTGCTGGCTCCGCACGCGCAGGTGCAGCCGTGTCCTCAGCATCAGTGGCTGCTGTGGGTGGCAATGGGCGCGAGACACGCGCCGGGTGAAACAGAGACAGTGAGAGAGGAGAGTGGTGTGCTGGTGGTGGGGGTGACACGAGAGGCAAAGCTGAGGAGCAGAGTGAGGCACGCACGGGGAGTGGGAAGCGGAGAGGGGCCACTTTGGAGCACGAAGCGGTTAGAAAAAACGAGAGAGGAAGGTGGGCGCGCGGACCAGCTATGCGGTCAGGGGCGTGTGTGTGTGCAATGGGTACAGCGTGCAGGGTGGACAGGAACGGCCGACAGGAGGCGAATAGTCATATGCGAGTGCCAGAGCTGTGTGCTGTGTGAGGGTGGGATGCGGGTGCGAGCGAAAGGGAGCGGAAGGGAATGATGGGCTAGAGGGAGGGAGGGAGTAAGAGAGAAAGGGATTGATAGGGCGCGAGAGAGTCAGAGAATGAAGGGGAGGGAGGGAAACGGGCGGGGGGGGAGGGGACGAATGTAACGCGCAAAACACGGAGGTCTTCAGGGATGATGCGAGGGAGGAAAGTGGGTGCGAGAGGCGCGAGAAAACAACTCAAGCATGCACTCACGATGACCTGAGGTCGGGATCTCACCAGCTGGCGGCTGCGATTGCGATTGGGATTGGGATAGCATGGCGGTGGAATCGCCCGTGATGAATCGCAGCCGCTCGTTGCCCTGGTTTAAGATCCGCCGCCGACGAGCTTCCCGCCGAGCTGCCGCGTCCGCCATCGCTGCAGCTACTATGAGACCGTGAGGCGTAAGAGGTGCTACGCGGGCGTTGCTGCTGATTGGTTGGCCGATGGAGCTAATGCGAAACAGATGACTGGAGTGGGAGATGAGGTGTGGTGGAAGGGCGGCCTTCTGAATGGATCGAAATGCAAATTCTGAACGAGTCCGAGATTTCAGTTACAAGCATTAGGAAGCGAAATAGTATAAAACAACCAATGCAAGGAAACCAGGTATAACATAATGAACAAGGTACTCGAAGTAGTACCGTATGAATATCTACGAGTTGTAGTAAAGCAGCAACGCCAGCTTTAAAGGAGCTTGTGCAAAACTTTTTATATCAACCTTCGTTAGACCAAACAAATATGTACAGAACCATCGAAGTTCCCTAAGGGCATGCTGTCAAACATATCTTAGTATGTTATTATAGACTATATAGGGTTGTGCCTTAGACAGTACAACCCACTAGGTTATATTCCCTTGTATCCCACCTTTCTAGTCATTCGTTAACTTTCATATGGTATCATGAGTAGGTTAGGTCCCCCCCCGCCCTAGGTCCTAGCCGCCTCGTTCCCCTCCCGCACGTGCTGGCCCGTCGCCTAGCCAGCCCCGTCGCCTAGCCGGCCCTGACGCCTAGCTGGCCCCGTAGCCCAGCGGGCCCCGCCTCCTAGCCGACCCCACCTCCTAGCCGGGCCCGCCTCCTAGCCGACCCCGTCGCCTAGCAGGCCCCGTCGCCCAGCCGACCCCGTAGCCCAGCCAGCCCTGCCTCCTAGCCGGCCCCGCCTCCTAGCCAAAACCGTCGCCTAGCAGGCACCGTCGCCCAGCCGGCCCCGTTGCCTCGTCGGCCCCGACGCCCACGGCCCCGTTGCCCAGCCAGCCCAGTCGCCTAACCGGCCTCGTCGCCTAGCCGGCCCCGTTGCACAGCCGGCCCCGTCGCTTAGCCGGCCCCGTCCCTCAGCCAGCCCCGTAGCCTACCCGGCCCCGTCACCTCCCCGCCTAGCCGGCCCAGTCGCCTCGCCGCCCGCGGCCCCGCCTCCTAGACGCCTCGCCGCCGTCATCGGCCCTTTGCACCGCCCGATACCGCAGTGCACCGCATTGCACCGCCCGGTACCGCACTGCACCCCTCTGCACCGCACTGCACCACACCCTACCGTACTGCACCTTCGTTTACCGCACTGTACAGCACTACACCTCACATCACTATCAGAATAATTGAATGAATGTAAAGTGAGAGTACACACAAATATATCTAAGTTTTGTAACCTCTAAGAGGTGACTCTATACAGTCTATACAAACATGACAAATACACATGTTTGACACACCCCCTAGACTGCATAGGGGAATACCCTAAACAAGCAGCTCAGGGCGGCACTACTAGTCCAACCTCTGAGGCAAGGGTCTGAGCGACCGGTCAGAAGGAGTACAGACAAGGCAAGCACAAGAGCAGGGCGGCACTACTAGTCCAGCCACTGGGAGAGGACACAAGTCCAGTCTGAGTATACATATAAAGGACAGTACAAAGTCAAGGTCCTAGCAAGTGAGAGGCTACAGGAACTAGACCAAGCTGTACACAGTGCCGCTGATGATCTTTAGGCGCAAGCGCCTTCGTAAAGATATCAGCCGTGTTGGCACCTGAGGCCAAGTGTACTACGCGAGCCTGACGTCGCTGCTGTAGCTCACGCAGGAGGAAGTACCGCAGCTGAATGTGCTTCGCTCTGCCCTCGAGTCGAGGCTCCTGACACAGGAGGATCATGGCCCTGTTGTCAGCGAACAGGACCGGGGCAGAGCTAGGCCGCTCACCTAAGTCAGTGAGCAAGAAGGTCAGCCAGCGGAGCTCCTGTGCCGCCATGGCACCGGCGTAGATCTCAGCCTCACAGCTGGACTGTGCAACAGACGAGGAGCGAGTAGCTCTCCACGAGACGGCACCTGAGCCAAGGCTGAAGCAGTAGCCCTGGGTAGACCGGAGTGTCTCAGCGTCGTCTGCCCACGAAGCGTCTGTGTGTCCAGTAAGGACCGCTGGCCTGCATCCTCCTAGTACTAACCCCATGCCCGATGTACTAGCAAGATAGCGCAGAACCCTCTTAGCGGCAGACCAGTGCTGCGGTCGGTGTCTGCCTGTGGCCACAAAGCGAGCCAGGATGCTGAGAGGGTATGCGAGATCTGGGCGAGTGCAAGTCATCAGGTACATGAGGCAACCCACCAGCTCTGCGTAGGGGCCGCTGGGCTCTACCAACTCCTCAGGCACTGGAGCGGAGAGCCTGTGGTCTACAGGCAGAGGGGTGGGCTGTGCAGAGGAGAACTGAAGGCTGAACCTCTGAAGGACCTGGCGCACCAAGTGTGACTGAGTCAGGGTGATGGTGTGCGCAGCTCTGTCCCTGGAGATCTGCAAGCCAAGGTAACGGCGCAGTTCTCCAAGGTCAGTGCACGTGTGTCTCTTCAGCAGCTCTGCCTTCACGGAGGCCAGCGCGTCCCTGTCTGCTGTGGCAAAGACCAGGTCGTCGACGTAAACGAGGATGTAGAACGGAGTCTGGCCAGCACGAACGAAGAGTGAAGGGTCTGCAGAAGACGGAAAGAACTGCAGGTCAGCAAGCGTAGCACGCAGAGTGTCGTGCCACTCACGGGGAGCCTGGCGCAGGCCGTAGACGGGGCGCCGCAGGAGCCACTGGGTCCCAGGAGGGAAGGTGCCAGTAAAGCTCGGAGGGCGGCGCAGGTAGACCTGCTCGTGTAGGCTGCCCTGAAGGAAGGCAGTGGAGAAGTCGAGGGAGTGAAGCTCGTAGTCACGCTGAGCAGCTAGGTGTAACAGAACCCGAAGAGTAGTCATCTTCGGGGTCGGAGCGAAAGTCTGGAAGAAGTCCACCCCCTCGCGCTGACTGAAGCCTCTAGCCACATAGCGCGCCTTGAAGACAGGCGGCTCTCCAGGAGGGCGCTTCACCTTGAAGAGCCAGCGGCCATCGACTACGTTCACCCCAGGTGGGGGAACTGCGTCGACGAAGGTGCCGGTGGATCTCCAAGATGCCATCTCCTGCTCCATGGCAGCTATCCACTGCGAGGCCCAAGGTCCCGAAGTTGCCTCAGCGTAAGTGCGAGGGGTCAGGATGTCGAAAGGGTCTGGGTCACCCTCAGGGACTAGCAGCATGGAACAGAGATGGGGAGCAGCCTCGGACAGGAAAGCAAGCTCGAACTGGCGGTCCTCCAGGACGTCACTGCCAAGGGCAGGAGCACCCCCGACAGACGGAGGACAGGCAGGGTCAGAGACCAGAGCGGTGGCGTAGTCAAGGCGGCGGGTAGAGGCGAAGTCAGCGACAGCAGCGACAAGAGCGTCAAGGCACGAGACTGGAACAGACGGGTCGGTAACGAGAGAGGCAAGGACCCGAGGAACGAGAGGACGAGCGGCACGAAGGTAGTCGGACACCGGGGGGGGTGCAACAACAAGGGAGGACGGAGGAGGCGACGGCAGAAGGGGAGGACGAGACGCGTGTGAACGAAGCAACATAGGGTGGGAGCGCAGGATAGGCGAGGCAGGACGAGCACGGGAGGGACGGTGAGACCAGACGTGCGATGGAGGAGTCGGGTCAGGAGACAGGGGAGGGGACACAGGAGGGGAACGAGGGGGGAGACGGGCCGGGGACGAGTCCGGCGGAGGGAAAACAGGGCCGTAGACAGGAAGAGGAGGAGACGGTCGGGGAGGAACCGACTCAGGGTCGGGGGACGGAAGGCCGAGCAGGCGAAGGGCGGACACCGGCGGGGACTGCTGCTGCGGCGGCACAACGGCGACACCTGGACCGCAAGCTGCTCCTCGGCTACCACCGGCACTCTCCACACCCGCACCCCCAGAGGGACCACCCTCAGGGCGACCGGGACGAGCACCCCCAGAGTCAGCGAACGGGGGCTGCGACTGCGGCGGCGGCGGCGGCGGCGGCGACGGCGACGGCTGCAGTGGAGGCAGGGACGGCGGAGGAGGGGACTGGGGAGGGGACACCTGGGGAGGGGCGGCCGGCGAGGACTGCACCGGAGGGCCACCAGAGTCAGAAGACTCCTCAACCGGGTCCACGGACGGAAGGGGGGTGACGTGGGAGACACCAGAGGGGGCGGGACGGGGAGGAGGAGGAGGAGGGGCAGGGACTACCGGAGAAGGGGTGACCAGGAACAAGGGGGGGGTAACCGGGGGACCACGGTGGGGGAAGCGGCGGTAGTAGGAGACGGACTCGTCAAAGGTGACGTCACGAGAGTGAAAGAAGTGGTGAGACGGCGGGTGGTAAAAGTGCCAGTCGGACGCGTCAAGGGGAAAACCGAGGAAGACGCAGGGAAGGGTGCGGGCAGTGAGCTTGTCCGTGCCGGAGCCACGGACGTGAGCAAGGCAGCCCCAGACGTGGAACGCAGACGCGTCACCAGGAGACCCAGTCCACAGACGGGTCGGCGAAACCTGCGGCTGCTGAGGGTGCGGCCACAGGTTAAGCTGGTGAGAAGCGTAGCGCACAGCGAACGGCCACAGAAAATGGGGTGCACCGGCATGGACCATGGAGGTGCGAGCCACCTCCATGACCAAGCCGATGCGTCGCTCAGCGACCCCATTCTGCTGTGGGGAGTCCGGTAGGGTGAACGTCTGGGTGATGCCCTCCGCACGACAAAAGCGACCAAGGACACCTGAGGCAAACTCGCCACCACGGTCTGAGTGAAGACGCAAGACAGGGAGACCGCGGTGGACACGCGCAGAGACAAGCCAGGGGATGAGGGCGCCAGGCACGTCGGCCTTGCGCTCCAGGGGAAAGACTGTGGTGTAACGAGTGAAGTCGTCGACAAGCACAAGGAAGTAGCGCTCGCGACGCGGCCCAGGGACGGGGGCGGGGCCCCAGACGTCCAGGTGCAGGGTCTGCAGCGGCGCGGCGGTAGGGGGGAACGAGGAGGAGTGAGGGGCACGGCGAAGCCGACCCTCGACACAAGGCGTGCAAGGTGGAGCTGGGGAGGAGGGAAACGCGGGGAGTGAACCTGGGAGACCAAGGACAAGACCGTGCTGGGACATGTGACGCAGACGCGGGAGCGCAGGGTGACCTAGGCGGTGGTGCCACAGGAGGGTCGGGTGAGTGAGGGAGCAACAGGAGCAGGCAGCA